TTTACCTGGGGTCGATAGCAGAGGACCGACGATATCCATCCCCCACTTCATGAACGGCCATGGAGACAGGACTGAGTGGAGCTGTTCCCCGGGTTGGTGGATCATTGGCGCAAACCTTTGACATTTGTCACACTTACGAACAAATTCCTTCGCATCTTTGCCCATATCAATCTAATAATACCCTGCTCTGATTATTTTTCGAACTAGTGTATCGGCTTCAGAGTGATTCCCACAGGTACCTTCGTGTACTTCTCGTAGAATATAATTGGTGTCTCCTGGGCCTAATCATATAGCCAACGGTCCATCGAATGTTCTTCGGTATAGCGTTCCATCCGACGCCAATGTGAATCGAGCTGTCTTAGTCCATAGTTCTCTAGAATCTTTAGGGTCCGATGGGAGTTTTCCGCTTTTCAAGTATTCAATATACCTGTTTCTCCAATCCCAGGTTAAACTTGTCGAATTTATTTCGGCGTGACCTTCTTCGATTACCGATCTCGAAAGCTGAACAACGTTTCCTGAGCCCGAGTCATCTACCTTGATCGATGATCCCAAATTAGCAAGTGCATCGGCCTCATTATTCAGTTCCCGCGGTACATGCCGTAAGGTCCATTGTTTTAAATAGTGCAAAGTGACCAGCAGTTTATCTAAATACCTTTGCATCCTACCTTCCTGAACTTCGAAAGTTCTGTTTACTTGACTTACTACCAGCAAGGAGTCGCAATTGGCTTCAATGACTTCTGCTCCCAAGTCCCTAGCTAGTTCCTGACCTACAATCATGGCTTCATACTCGACCTCGTTGTTAGTGAGCCTGATAGTTTTAATAGATTGCCTAATAGTATTACTCGTGGGTGGTTTCAAAACAATGCCCAGCCCAGACCCTTTTATGTTCGAAGCCCCATTCGTAAAAAGGATCCATACCCCCGATGACTTTCCCGATGTCGACAGAATTTCTTTTTTGACTTCGGGTACGAGGGTTGGCGTGAAATCGGCCACAAAGTCTGCTAAAATTTGAGACTTGATGGCCGTACGGGGTTGGTATTCGATATCGTACCCACTGAGTTCGACGGCCCATTTGGCTAATTGGCCTGATTGTTCGGGTTTATGCAAACTCAAACCGAGGAATCGAGATAAACCCCAAGAAAATCAAGGCCATCGAAGACATCACCATCGTGGATAGCGTGAAAGCCGTACAAAGGCTGACCGGACAGATTGCAGCCTTAGGCCGATTCATTTCGAGATCATCAGATCGAAGTCACAAATTTTTCTCTCTACTCAAAAAGAAGAATGATTTTGCTTGGACCCTGGAATGCCAACGAGATTTAGAGGAACTAAAGCGGTATCTATCAATCCCACCACTGCTTCACACTCCCAAAACAGATGAAAAACTCTATTTGTATTTGTATTTTTGAGTTTCATGTTGTATTTTCTTAAAATATCGAACGTTTCCTGCAAATGGGTCAAATGATCCTCTGCGCGCAGGGATTTAACTAGCATGTCATCAATATATACTTCCATTGATTTACCTATTTGTTCTTCGAATATTTTATTTACTAAACGTTGATAAGTAGCTCCTGTATTTTTTAGCCCGAAGGGAATTATATTGTAACAGTATGTTCCATATCTGGTTACAAATGCCATTTTTTCCTGGTCCTCCAGGTTTATCTGAATTTGATTATACCCGGAATAGGCATCGAGGAACATGAGGATCTCGTGACCAGCCGTGGCATCGATCATGCGATTGATGTTGGGCAGTGGAAAGGAATCTTTCGGGCATGCTTTATTTAAATCCTTATAATCCACACACATTCTAAGTTTGTTCCCTTTTTTAGGTACTATAACTACATTGGCTAACCATTCGGGGTATTTCACCTCCCGAATGGACCCTATTTTGAGAAGTTTGGCTACCTCATTCTTTATGAACGCGTGCTTTACCTCCGATTGGGGTCTTCTCTTTTGATTCACCGATCTGAATTTAGGGTCCAAACTTAGTCGATGCGTCGTTATGCCCGGGGGTATTCCTGTTATATCTAAATGGGACCAGGCGAAACAGTCGATGTTATTGATAAGAAATTGAATGAGTTTTTTCCTGAGTTCGGGGATCAAACCCGTTCCCAGGTATACCTTTCGTTCGGGCTAATGTTCGATTAGTGTGATTTGCTCTAGTTCCTCAATAGTTGATTCGGTGGCATCGGAATCATCGGGGGTCACGAACGATCGAGGAGTCCATCGATCGTCATCTTCTCCGATGTTCTGCTTATCTGGCTGGGCCGAAGCTGATGTATGTGATTGCTATTTGGCGCTCTGTTCTTCGATTGTATCTCATTCTGAACCCGTTCCTTTTATCGGTGAGGACGAAGATATTGATTTTGTTTCCTCAACGGCGAACATCTCCTTCGCGGCTGGCTGTTCCCCCTACATTATTTTAACACCTCTCGATGTTGGGAATTTGAGGACCTGGTGTAGGGTCGAAGGTACGGCTCTCATGCTGTGGATCCATGGACTTCCGAAAAGGGCGTTATACCTCATATCGCCTTCGATCACATGAAATTTTGTTTCCTGAATGGTTCCGTCCACGTTTATCGGTAAGATTATCTCGCCTTTTGTGGTTTCACATGCCATATTGAATCTGTTCAGAACCAGAGTTGCAGGTATGACCTGGTTCTGTAAGCCGAGCTGTTCTATGACCCTCGATCTGATTATATTGGCTGAGCTACCTGGATCAATTAGCACACGCTTAATTTTAATTTTATTCACGAGTACGGATATTACCAGTGCATCATTATGGGGTTGGGTGATTCCCTCTGTATCTTCATCATTGAAAGACAAGGTCCCTGTGGGTATGTATTCTTGAGTTCGAGATCGCTTTTCCTTGACAATAGATGTTCTAGCGTGTTTAAGCACTGGTCCCTGCGGGGTATCGGCGCCGCCGATGATCATGTGGATGACGTGTTGCGGTTCTTCCAGCTCGTTTTGCTTGTGAAGTCCTTGCTCTTGAAATGATTCTTCGCCTTATTGCTCAAAAATTCCCGAAGGTTCCCTTTGTTAAATAAGTGGGCTACTTCCTCTCTTAATTGCCTACAATCTTCGGTCCTGTGACCATGGGTGCCATGATATTCGCACATTTTATTGGAATTCCTTCGGGCAGGGTCGGTCTGCATAGGTCGAGGCCATTTAGTGTCTTCGATGCGTCCGATGGCTGACACAATAGCAGATGCACCGATGTTGAAGTTGTATTCCGACAGTCGAGGGGTTTCTACAGGATCGGTACGTTTATCGAAGCCGCTTTTACTCATCAGTCCCCGGGAATTTTGTCCCCGGTCGATCCTTTCATTGTTTCGAACTGTATTGCATGCTGAACCGTTATTTATCCAATCTGTGACGTATGACCGATATCGATCTTGGTTTGACCTTTGAACCTTGTCGATTTCCCTTTGATTTTTAATAACTGTTCTCTTCCTATGAACGGGTCCGTATGGAGCCCCCAACTGATCATCCTCGACCCTAATCTTCGATTGATATCGGTTGTGTACGTCTGCCCAGGTTATTGCTGGATACTCGATCAGATTTTGTTTCAGCCGATGTGATGCTGTAGAACTTAGCTGGTTCAACCCTTGGGTGAAAGCTTGGACGGCCCAATCGTCTATGACCGGGGGTAATTCCATACGTTCCATTTGAAATCTGGATACGAATTCCCTCAGCATTTCATTCCCCCTTTGTTTTACTTTGAAGAGGTTTGATTTTCTTGTCGCAACCTTTATGGTACCAGCATGTGCCTTTTACGAACGAATCCGCTAACATGGCAAAAGAGTTGATGGAATTCGGCGGTAAATTGTGGTACCAGATTATTGCTCCCTTCAAGAGGGTCTCCCCGAATTTTTTTAACAGCACGGATTCGATCTCATCGTCCTCCAAATCGTTGCCTTTTATGGCACACGTGTAAGAGGTGACATGTTCGTTGGGATCGGTCGTACCATTATATTTGGGAGTTTCGGGCATACGGAATTTTTTGGGGATTGGCTTCGGTGCTGCACTTGGCGGAAAAGGCTTTAGTATGAATTTTTTTGAATCAAGACCCTTTATTATTGGTGGAGCCCCCGGAATTTGATCGATCCTGGCATTATAAGTTTCCACCCTTTTGTCGTTGGCTTCGACTCGTTTTGTAAGTTCCTCGAGCAATTTGGTAATTCCGGGGGTAGTCCCCGATTCTTGCTCGTTAGATTTTACTATGGCGGGTTCTGTTCTGGGGGTAGCTTCTCGAAGTGGATCGGACTCCGGCCCGTGTTGTGCGCGAGTTTGACTCTGTAATTGAGCTATCGCGACTTTTTGGGCTTGTAGCATCTCGAAGATCATACGTAGGCTGGTCCCGATTTTCCCCGCATTTTGTGTGTCTTGGGCTACGGATCGAGCTCCGCCCTGAATGTTTCTTTCCTGTTCGGAACGTTGATTTGCCTCCAAAGCTATTTGCGAGTTGACATCCAATGGTATTTCAGCTCGAACCTCGGTGCCATTGTCAATTGGCCTTCCGGCCACGAGTGCCAAGTTATTGGTTTCATCTTGAAGGCCGGCTTCGTTATCGATTGGTGAAGCCATTTGATGGTTGTTTGTAGTGTTTTTTCAGATTTGTATCAAATAACCACTGTTATCCTCGGCCCCACAGTGGGCGCCAAACTGTTTACCCGAAAAATGGATATAGTTGAATTTATACGTAGTTCTAAGGATATGTGGTATACTTTGATATGAAAAAATGTAATGATAAATATCAATGCGAATTTAGATTTGGAGAAAATACAAGACAGACAAGATTATCCAGAACAAATGAGTCTTAGAATTTCACAAGATGAAATCAATCTAAGAAGACTGAAAAAGAGATGCTTTACTCTCCAGAAATATGTTGCTTTGTGTTACAATGTATGACTTTGGAAAAAACCTGCCCCTAAGAGGTGGTAGCCAAGCCCCTTTTATATTGGAGGGAATTGGCTCCAAGTATAATAAAATAACCTTCAGTGGGAGACCCATGATGAGCCAGCTTTTCCGTGATTTATGTCAAGATTCTTTCTAGTGGGATTGCAACGGTTCTTGTCTGTGAGCTCGATCTTGCTGGAAGACGCCTGCTTTGGTTTAAGCTCGATTTCAGTTCGAGCCCGATCTTGGTCCGAGCCCCCGAGTTGCTTCGAGGTCGAGGCCAGTGCTGGCTGGTATACTATTTTGTGTCGACTTCCACTCGAGCTTGATAATGGTTTTGGCACGGGTCGGCCTGATCGGATTCAAGATTTGGTTTGTTGCACCTTCGGGGTCTTGCTTCAATAGGCCATTGTTCGAACTCAATCGGTCGTGTTAAAGCCGAAATCTATTTTGACCGTACACACATAGAATAATATTATCAATTCATGTAACATGTTTTTAACGTAGAATTAATAAAATCGTACATAGATTAATAATGTCTTAAGATAAATTAGATGAATTGATTATACTGAAAAGGCAATACAAACATCAAATTGTTTGTAAAAATATAATTAACATCTCGAGAGAGAAGAATAAAACGCTAATAAGCTTAAATAATCAAGCTTAAACACTATTGCTTTTATTAAAATTTAACTTTAGGCCACTTTTTTTATTGAGCCGACCTGTCATAAACAGAGCCTGAAAACACTCAGAATCTTCTGAAGCAAGCTTCTCTCTTGTTCCTTCCAACTGCTCCTTCAACAACAAGAGTTGATTCAAGTTTTGACATTCTTCAACATCTATATCCTCCAACCAATCGCGGAGGCCATTCCTCGGGGACGGGGATGATCTCGGCCCCGAGGAACTGCCAGAAACATCATCAGAATTAGAATGATGAGAATTCAGCCCAGACGATAATGGTTCTGAAAAACTTGAAAAGTGCCTCTCAATTGCACAAGTAACATTGCCGCAAGTGTAAGGCCTTCCGGTGGGCGAAAAAACCACCGCCGCAACTCGAGATCCGGTCATGGATTCAAGTTCTCCAGCTTTTTTGAAAAGCCCTTTGCGTCTTTTAGAGAATGTAACCATTCTAGACGTTTCTTTTGTGATTTTCTCGATCTGTATCTTCTTCTTTCCTGTTCCCATCTCCTCGTTTTCTTCTTCTTATTTTTTCGTGTTTTTCAAGTGTAGATAGATTGTGCTTTGAAAGCTTTTGAACAATTTGGAATTCTTAAAGTTTGATATTTATAGGGAAGAGATTGAAACAGATACTATTTTGGTAGGGATTCCTAAAGCCATATAACATTGGTAGTTTCCTATTGTAAATATACTGTTTGCCATATTAGTTTCCTAATTTTTCTGTTTATAACTTCTCACCGCCGTAAACCAAGAGACGTTTCTTTTCATTTTTTTCCCTTTTCCGAGGGGTTTAATTTATAGTGCTTTTATCTTTTTATTCAATTTAAATTAGAGTTTGGTTAAAAATAAATTAGAGTTCGGTTTGACATGTACTTTTACTGTAGTTTATACTTGGTCGTTCTTTTAGTATGTTTAGATCTTGAATATTGAGCATTAATGTGGTAGTATTTAATTTAGTGTAAAAGTCCTAATTAGTTTCCATGTTGGTTGTTCCTATATTAGTTATCTTTTCCATATTAGTTTCCTATTCTGAACCAACCTTCTTTTTCCATAATAGTTTCCTTTTTTTTGTGTGTAACTTCTCACCGCCATAAACCAAGAGACGTCTCTTTTAATTTATTTATTTATTGGTTTAATAACTTCCCCTTTTTAAGCGAATTAACTTCCCTTTTTAGGATTAACATTGAAAAGGAAAAGTTATGTGCTTTTTCTTCAATTTTCGGGTTCGTTCTCTTCTTTTGCCAGGTAAAAAAAGAATTTCCTAAAATAATTTTTGGTTTCTAGAAAGCGTTTGGTTTGTTTGTTTGTTTGTTTGTTTTTCCAAAACATTTGGTTTGATTTCGAAAAGTAAATATTGTTGTTTAGTCCAAATGGGATTGATTAATATTATTTTCCTAACTTATAAACAGGCTTAATTAATAAGTTTTCTGCTTTTAAGTTTAGTTCTTTCTGGGGCTTATTTTTGAATAAACTCGTATTATAAACGAAGAAAGTTTTTATGATTAGTATTATATAGTATTTAATTTAGTTTAAAGTTCTAACTAGTTTTCATGTCTTAGCTGTCCCTATATTAGTTTTCTTTCTTGAAGGTTAAGTATACGGTTAGGAGTTTTTAAGTGTTAATATATGACCGCACTGTAAATAGGGTAACCCTGTAAATAATATGACTTCTATAAATGTGAAATTTTACAAACCGCTAGTGACATAGTTTTTCGATCGAGTTAATCTGAGCACGATGGTTAAGTTAACAAATCTTTACCCGGTGTTTACATCAAGGACCAAATCGTAATTTACTTAATAAAATAAATAACCATAATTATATATATATATAATTATAAATTTATATTATTATAAATCTATCTATATTATTATAAAAGCACGAATATTAGAATAATAAATATTGATCAACGAAAATATCCTCGAAATATTGACGGATCTTTATGCCCTTGCAAAATTAAATCATTTGTTCAAAGAACTAACTTGATTTGGATAGAACAGGGAATATTGAAATTTTAAAATCAATTAAGATTTTATCTCTATGGATACTTTTTCGCCGTAGGACTCTAAATTTGAATAGGAGTGGTGTTTTGGTTATACATTGTCAATTTAAAAAGAAATACATTACGTTATCTATGCTATAACTTTTTTGTGCTTTATATTGTTAGCCTATGGTGCGGCTACTGGAGAATAAACCTCTTAGAATGAATATTTCTTATAATATTTCTTTTCTACTATTTAACTTTTACATATGCTATCTTGTAGTTATTGTGATTAGTATTCTTGGAAGAAATTTCAAAAGTTTGACTCTTAGTTAACAAGGTAAGTTTAATCTCTTTTCATTTATTTTCTTCACTTCTATGGTGTTTAATAATTTCATGTGATAAGTACTATTTGCTTGTACATGTTCATGTATTATTAGATTTATACATGATACAATATTTTTCGTTGGTTTAGATATGTAATTGTATTTTGTATATCGATATGTGAAACTATATTTTAATAGAGATTAAGATTTTGTCGTGAGTTTCTTAGATTTTTCTTGTATGTTTCTTTAATATGTTTCATTCATTTCACATTAAACATATTTATTTTGATTGAATTAATTTTATGTCTCCTAATACAGACTTTAGTTTAGGCATCTTCTACACCCATGACACTAAATTCTAAACATCCTTTGATCAATCGCACTTTACACATTATTTTTATGAGTTGAGAATATAATATATAGATTATTAAGGTTAATCTTAGATATCGTCTATAATTGATCAAAGGAAAATAATGAAAAAAGAATATAATGGGATCTTTTATGGGGTGTGGAATGTTTAAAGTGCGAAATTTTGATCAATAAAAATATTCATGAAATTTAATGATTACAAGTTCCTAATGCTATCGTCATTGTTTTTTCAATTGTTGATTTTGCAACGTCTTCTTTTAAAACAACTTTAATTTTTGTTTGTGTCATGACTCAATTTCTCTTCTAGACCGTGATGGCGCCCAACGTTGCCGCTGGGCAAGCCTACAGTGAACTAACTCCGTGGTCCTTTCCTTTGAAGACTTGAAATAGTTGATTTTTAGTTTGTGCATAGATAAGAAGTAAAAATTTAATAAAAAAATAAAAAAATCAAGATTTTTAAAGCAAGTGAGATAAGTAAAATAACCTAAAAACCAACAAGTGTCTACTAGCATGAACCACCAAGACCTGCTATCACAAGTGTACGAGCAACTAATAGAATATACAAAAGAATACTAGTCTACTGTCTGAAGTGAAATAGACAGAAAATACAAGCAAAAGAAAGACTCCGGCTACTTCAGAACAGGCTCAGAAAGTAGCTTACCACGAAGTCTAGTGGTAGTCAAGGATGCGCGCCGGACTGATATCCAGATGCACCTGCCTCAGATCCTGCACATTTAGTGCAAAAGTGTAGCGTGAGTACATAAACAACATGTACCCAGTAAGTAACCAGTCTAACCTCGAAGAAGTAGTGACGAGGGGCCGACTTTGACACTTACTATAGGCTAACAATAAAATGTCACAATGATAACTAAGCATGTGTTACATAAATATAACTGAAAACTCAATAACAGGAAATAATAAACAATCCTTTCACTAATAGTAAATCCCAAATTTTATTTTCATCATTTAACAACTTATATCTCAAGCCAATGAAGCAATATCAATTATAATTAGTTTCAAAGATTTATTATGCGCAATTTATGCCGAGGTCGTACGGCCCGATCCTACATAAAAATATTTAAAATGTGCACTGCCAAGGGTCAAACGACACGAACCATAGATGCATCTATCTGCTACCGAGGCGTTCGGCCCTCTCCGCGAAAAAGAGAAAGTACTTTATAACAGCCGATTCAAGATTTATTAAGAGGCTAATATTTAAAGAAACACCAATCCTCAATAACAGTCAAGTGACACATCCACAACTTCAAGTAAGTGAAATTTAACCTTTTACAATTCCTTTATCAAGTTCCAATATAACTTAAGCAATTAAGTTAGCAAGTAGGGTGCAAACATCGCAAGTATAGCATGGTATGGGTCCTAGACTACCTGCACAATAGCATAATTAGTAGCTACGTACGGACTCTCGTCATCTCGTGCATACGTAGCCCCCACAAATAGGAGCATATATTAATCAATTTACCTATGGGGTTAATTCCCTCTTACAGGGTTAGAAAAGAGACTTACCTCGTCTCAAAGGCTACTTTCCGGTCCAAGATTGTGCTCAAACCCTCAATTCGGTGCCAAGCGACTCGAAACTAGTCAAATGTTATATATAATAGTCAATACATGTTCAAAAGTTCACATCCTAACTATCAAAGTGATTTTCCAACCCTATTTGAAAAATTCCTAAAATTTACCCTGGGCCTACGTGCCTGAATTTCGAAAATTTTTAAAGAAAGTTATTACCCATAACCTCATGAATCCAAATATATGATCTTTGCTAAATCCCATAATAAATTTTGTGGTTAAATCTTATTTTTATCAAAACCCTAGGTTTTCACCTAAACCCATGATTTTTATTAATTTACATGTTATAATCTACCCATAAACTATGTATTTAACTCATATTTGGTAGAAATTACTTACTTCAATTAGTTGATGAAACCCACCTCTAACCAGCTCCAAAATCTGTAAGAAATGAGCATAAATGCCTAAGTCCCGTATTAAATAAAGTGGTCTGCCTTCTGCGATATTCGCACCTGCGGTTCTGCTTCTGCGGACCAAATCACGCAGGTGCGGACCAAGGCAAGGCTTCCTTCTCTCACTTCTGCGCTAAGGCGATCGCGCCTGCGGACCCGCACCAACGGCAAAAGGTGCGCACCTGCGCCTTCGCAGGTGCGGTCTCTCGCCCGCTTCTGCGATCACTGGCCTCCCTTTGCTGGTCCGCTTCTGCGGCTCATGGCTCGCACTTGCGGCTGGCCAAGCGCAGGTGCGTTTACACTAGAAGCTGAAGCTTCAGCATTTTCCTAAAGCCACAACTAGATCCGAGCCTCGTCCGTTTAACACTCGGGTCCCCCAGGGCCCCGCCCGAACGTACCAACAAGTTTGGAATCATAAAACGGACTCGCTCGAACTCTCGGAATGCGCAAAAAAAATATCAACACTAAGAATCATACCCCAAACCAATTGAATCAAAAATATGAACTTCAAGTTCTTCAACTTACTCCTAACGCGCCGAAACGTACTTAAACTACTCGGAATGACACCGAATTTTGCGTACAAGTCTTTAATGACATTAGGGAACTGTTCTCAATCTCGAAATCCTATTTGGACCTCGATATCACCAAAACCTACTCCAAACCAAATTTAAAGAACTTCTAAAACATTCAAAGAGCCAACTTAAACTATTAGGCGCTGAAATGCGCCCAGGTCATCAAAAACCCGATCCGAACATACGCTGTAACGACCCGACCGGTCGTTTTGAGCTCTATCATATCGTTCGGTGGTTTGAGGCCATGTGAAACTTCACTTCAGGTATTATGACTAGTATGTG